CTCACTTTCAGTACCTTACCCTTCCCTTCACCCAAATCAATACTTGTCTCTACCTGTCTTGCAATGTTCCCTCCCCTCCTCTCCCATCCCTGGTAACCAACAAACAAAGTTTCCTTCTACATATAAAAGTCCTTGACTTTTTACAATAGTGAATTGCAAGCTCAATTCTTCAATATTATAGTACTGATAAAGAATATCTGCCTTCTTCTATGACCAAAAAAATCAACACCAAATCCACTATTATTAAGTTGATTCCAACTCATGGGGACCCCATGTGTTACAGAGTAGAAATGTCCCTCAGATCATCTTGGCTGTAATCTTTGTGGAAGCAGATCACCAGACCTTTGTCCCATGGCACTGTTAAATAGGTTCAAACCATTAACCTTTAGGTTAGGAGTCAAGTGCAAACTATATGCACCACCTAGGGACTTTTCCTATGACCAGATCTCACCTTATAACCCATCTTTCATCATTGGATTGCTTTTTTTTTCCTTCATATCTGAGCTCCAGTCTTGATAATCTGTCTAGGCTCCAGTAGCTCTGACATGGTGGTCTTACTCTGAATCTCTGCTCTCTGCCCCTAGGCCTTCCAGGCAATATTAATTTCAGCATCAACACCAGCATTAGTACCAATGTCAACAGCAACACCAACACAAACACCAAACTCCAATGTCAATAGGAGCCATCTGTCTGCCAGATCTCTGGCCCCAGACCTCCTTCACCAGGACAGAGCAGTTTCTCTTCCCTAAGCCCTCAGCCATAACTGTCAGCCTGTTTGGTCTCCCTATTGACTCTGTGCTTATTCCACTACAGCAGATCTATGGGATTGGCCCATTCTAAACATTCCACCATTCATATGTCTTTTTTTCATACTGTGGTGGCTTGCATGTTGCTACAATGCTGGAAGCATCAAATACCACCAGGGTCAACCTTGTTGGACAGGTTATCAGCAGTGCTTCCACACTAACAGAGACTACAAAGAAGGACTGGGCAATCTACTTCTAAAAATATTGGCCAATGAAAACTTTCTAAATAGCAGTAGAACACTATCTGCTACAGTGCTGGAAGATACCCTCAAGTTGGAAGGCACTCAAAATACAACTAGGGAAGAACTACCTCCTCAAAGTAGAGTTGACCTTAATGATGTGGATGGAATAAAGCTTTCAGGACCTTCACTTGCTGATGTGGCACAACTCAAAATGAGAAGAAACAGCTGGAAACATTCATTAATTATTAGAACATGGAAGTATGAATCTAGGAAAATTGGAAGTTGTCAAAAATGAAATAGAACACTTAGAAATAGATCTCCTTTGCATTAGTGAGCTACAACGGATGGGTATTGGTCATTTTGAATCAGATAATCATGGTCTACTATGCCAGGAATAAAGAGGAACAGCTTCCTATTCATTGTCAAAAAGAACATTTCAAGATCTATCATGCAGTACAATGTTGTCAATACACCTACAAGGAAGACTAGTTAATACAAATATTATTAAATTTACACACTAATCACTAATGCCAAAGATGAAGAAACTAAGATTTTCACTAATTTCTGCAGTCTAAAATTGATTAAATATGCCATGAAAATGGTGATTGGAATATGAAACTTAAGAGACAAGAAAAAGGTTCAGTAGTTGGAAAGTATGGCCTTGGTGATACAAACAATGATGGAGATCATCATGATAGAATTATGCAAGACCAATGACTTCTTTATTGCAAGTACCTTTTTTCAACAACATAAGCAATGATTTTACATATGGACCTTGCCAGATGGGGTACATAGGAATCCAATAGACTACATTTGTGGAAAGAGACAATGAAGGAACTCAATATCAGAAAGAACAAGGCCAGAGGCCAACTGTGGAACAGACCATCAATTGCTCATATGCAAGTTGAAGTTGAAGCTTAAGAAAATTAAAAAGTCCATGAGAACCAAAGTATGACCATGAGTATGTCCCACTGGACCATCATAAGAATGGATTTGATGGATTGAACACTACTAGTGAGTGAAGACCGGAAGAGCTGTGGGATGACATCAAGGATATTATACATGAGGAAAGCAAAAGATCATTCAGACACAGGAAAAAAAAAAAGACCAAAATGGATGTTAGAAGAGACTCTGAAACTTGCCCTTGTATATAGAATAGCTAATAATGAAGAAATGATGATGTAAAAGAGCTGAACAGAAGATTTCAAAGGGTAGCTTGAGAAAACAAAGTAAAGTATTATATTGAAATATGCAAAGATCTGGGGCTAAAAAACCAAAAGGGAAGAATACGCTTGGTATTTCTCAATACTATGCCAGGAATAAAAGAGGAACAAGGTGAAAGAACTGAAGGAAAAATTCAAGCCTCAAGTTGCAATACTGAAGGATTCTATGGACAAATTGGAGCCCTGGTAGGACAGTAGTTAAGTGTTCAGCTATTAACTGAAAGGTTGGCAGTTTGAACACACCAGCTGCTCCATGGGAGAAAGATGTGGCAGTCTGCTTCCATAAAGATTACAGCCTTAGAAACTCTATGTCCTACAGGTTTGCTATGAGTCAGAATTGATGTGTCAGCATCAGGTTTTATTTTGTTTGGTTATGGGCAAAATATTCAATGACACAGAAAGCATCAAAAGAAGATGGAAGGAATATATAATCATTATACCTACAAGAATTGGCTGACGTTCAGGAGGTAGTATATGATCAATACTGATGGTATTAAAGGAAGAAGTCCAAGCTGCACTGAAGGAAGCAGTGAAAAACAAGGCTCCAGGAATAGACAGAATTTCAATTGTGATATTTCAACAAATGGATGTAAGTCTGGAAGTACTCATAGTACTGTCTATGCCAAGAAATTTAGAAGACAGCTACCTGGCCAACTAACTATAAGAGATCCATATTTGTGCCCATTCCAAAGAAAGGTGATCCAACAGAATGCAGACATTATCAATCAATGTCATTAATATCATACTCAAGTAAAATTTTGCTGAAGATAATTCAAAAACGGTTGCAGCAGTACATTGAGAGGGAACTGCCAGAAATTCAAGCTGGATGCAGAAGAGGATGCGGAACAAGGGATATCATTGCTGATGTCAGGTGAATCTTGGCTGAAAGCAAATACCAGAAAGATGTTGCTTACTTGTGTTTTATGGATTATGCAAAGGCATTTGACTGGGTGGATCACAACAAATTATGGATAATATTATGAAGAATGTAAATTCCAAAACACCTAACTGTGCTCATATGGAACCTGTGCATAGACCAAGAGGCAGTCGTTTGAACAGAACAAGGAGATGTTGTGTGATATCAAGAAAGGTGTGTGTCAGGTGTATACTTTCACCATACTTATTTCAATCTGTATGCTGAGCAAATAATCTGAGAAGCTGGACTATATGAAGTAGAATGTGGCATCCGGATGGAAGAAAGATTCATTGACAACCTGTGATGTGCAGGGGACAGAATTTTGCTTGCTGAAAGTGAAGATAACTTGAAGCACTTATTAGATGAAGATCAAAGACCACAGCCTTTAGTATGGATTACACCTCAACATAAAGAAAACAAACATCCTCAGACTGGACCAACAAGCAACATCATAATAAATGGAGACAATACAAAAGTGGTCAAGGATTTCATTTTACTTGGATCCACAATCAATAACCATGGAAGTTATCAGTCAAGAAATCAGATCATATTGTACTGGGCAATTCTTCTGCAAAAGACCTCTTAAAAGTACTAAAAAGAAAGATGTTACTTTGAGGACTAAGGTACACCTGACCCAAGTCATGGTATTTTCAATACCCTCATATGCATGTGAAAGCTGAAAAACGAATAAGGAAAAGTGAAGAAAAATTGATGCCTTTGAATTATGGTGTTGATGAAGAATACCGAATATACTATGAACTGCCAGAAGAATCAACAAATCTGTCTTAGAAGAAGTACAGCCAGAATTCTCATTAGAAGCAAAGATGATGAGACTTTGGACATGTTATCAGGAGGGACTAGTCCCTGGAGAAGGACAGCATGCTCAGCAAATTTGAGGGTCAGCCAAAAAAAAAAAAGGAAGACTGTTAACAAGATGGACTGACACAGTGAATACAACACAATAACAATTAAGAGGATGACACAGGACCAGGAAGATTTTTGTTCTATTGTTCTATTGTACATAGGGTCCCTATGATTCAGAACCCAACAATACCTAACAACAATGTCAACAACAAATGGTAAGCTATAGTCCTCACAATCCTTTCAAAGAATTAATAACCATGAGGAGTATCTGCTTTATATATTGGGAAGAAGAAAGAGGAAGAGGAGGAGGAAGAGAAAAAGAGGAGGAAGGGGAAGAAGAAGAGAGAAAGAAGGAAGAAGAGAAAAAGGAGAAGAAGGAAGAGAAAGAAAAAAAAAAAGAACAGGAGGAAGAGAAGGAAGAAAAAGAGGAGGAAAAAGATCATCATCACATAATTATCATCATCAGAGAAAATGTGAAATTGTCCTCTATTCTTTTTGACTTGTGTAGCTTTGCCTGAGAGAAACCAAGCTGAAAAGAATATAAGGCAATATCATCTAATTATGCTGAAATAACATTTGGAGAGAGCCTATGAAGTGACCCCAACAAGCATCTCTCCCCCACACACTCCTTTACATCTATGTCCTCACCCAAAACTTAGTACATGTCAGCATATTTCATTTCACGTAAACTTGCTCCCAGGAGCTCTGGTAGCGTAGTGCCTAAGGCATTTGACTGCTAACCAGAAGCGGTTCAAACCCACCAGCCACTCTTCGGAAAGAAGGTGGGGCAATCTACTTCTGTAGTGATACTGCCTTGGAAACCCAAGGAGGGGTCACTATGAGTCGGGTCTGACTTGAGGGCAAATAATAACAAACAACAAACTTGCTCCCTTGGTGCTACCAGGCTGTCCTCTAGGAGGAGTGAGGTGAAAGAAGAACATATATAATCACTTCTGGGGTTTCCTTGACCTCATCCCTAGGGAAGTCCCTGAGTCCTCTGGTTAGTTACCTGTGAGGGCAACCAAGTGTGGCAAGCAGAGGCGGTTTGCGAGGATGATGAGTTTCATGTCATCCAGGTCGGGACTGGAGGTGAACATGCCTGTGTAGAGGTATTCCAGCACTGCCCTCATGCAGCTCTTGCTAGTGTAAGGAAATACCACCTGGAGATGGAAAGGAACAGGTCAGGCCACAGTGAGGTTCAGCTATAGGGAAGGGTTACCCAACTCTGAGAAACTCAAGAGCCTCTGATCTACACACCTGGTCTCTCCCAGGCAGGCAGCCTTCCCTGTGCTACCCCTAAACCTGCTCAGAAGACTCCTAAAGACCTGTCTCCTACAATAATCACCTTGTCAGAGGCCCAGTTCACTGATGGCATCAGTGAACAATGCTCTATTATGTTTTGTATAATTATTACTATAGTGGTAATTATATAGGTTAACAAAACATTGCCAATTCTATTATTTCTACATGTACAATTCACTGACATTAATTACATTCATCATGTTGTTACACCATCACCATAACCATTCCTAAATTTTTCCATCACATTTAACAGAAATGTCCCCTAAAGCAGTGGCTTCCTTTCCCCCCTCCCTACTGCCTGTCCCTGAGAACCACTAATAAACTTTGATATCCATACACTTGCCTACTCTAGATATTTCATGTAAGTGGGATCATATAATCACTTCTCATAATGTTCTCAAGCTCTACCCATTCTAATATCTTTTAAAAGGTGCCTAGATTTCCAGTGGCATCCTTTTGAACTTGTTTTGAAGCCCAGGATGCTTGGCAAGGTCCTTTCAGTCACCTGAATCTACACCCTGGCTCCTCTCTCCCTGCAGAGAGCAGTGGAACTCCAGCTGGCTTCTCTAGGGCTGCATGAAACTGTCGCTTTGGGCCTCTGGAATCTCTTTAAAGCAGTGCTGCAACATAAACTGCTTTCTCATCAGACCCAAGTCTTTCCAAACTGCACTGGGAATCAGCTAAGCTCTAAAGCTGGCTTCTAGGGTGGAGAAGTGCCTATGGCTGGCATGTCCCTGGGGCTTTCAAGAGTTCTTACTCGTACACTTTGCATATCCAAATCTTACTCATGCTTCAAGGATCAGGAGCCAAATCAAATCTCAACCCTGCCATTTAGCCTCCCACAAATATTCCTTCCTGGAAATCTCAGGGAACTCATAACCTGCAACACAGAGTTCTATGCTGCATTGTTCTTATTTCAATTTTTCATAGAAGTATTTGGTGAGCACTTAGTAAGAGGCCAGAGCTAAAGGGCATATTTGGCAGAAGTAAAAGACTTAGTATCCACACTCAAAAGAAATTACAGACCTGTTGGGAAACTGGGAGTGGACACTCAGAGCATTTCAGGAGTTGTACATAGGACTACCTTGTTAACTACAAGGTTGAATGCTAGACAGTTAGTGTTACAGGAGTTCAGAGAGGGTTATGGCCTGGGCTACTCTGCTGGACTGGGAGAATGGAAAGAAGAGAATAGACTTAGGAGGAAAGTTTCTAAGGACACATTGATTGGCCTTTCCAACTCTAAGCGCTATAATTTGTTCAATTCTGAGGTTTCCAATCTAGAAGCTGGAGACAGTGGTGGGTTGTGTCAGAGAGAGATCAGGTGAGTTGGAGGGGCACTGATTAAAAGGAAAGGCAATGGATTCAGCTTGGGACACACTAGTTGTTTCATGTGCCTATGCATTTCTTTGAGGAAGTAAGGTGCAATAAAAAGAGCCAAGAGTCAGAAGTTCTAAGTTCAAGTCCTAGACTTTCTACTTATACAACTTTGGGCAAGTCATTTAACTTCTTGGGGCCTCACTCTCCTTATGTATAAAATGGGAATGCCATGATATGTGTAAAAGTAGCACGTGGATTAAATGACACAATGTATTGAAAGTGTTTTCTAAATTATAAAGTTAGAATGTTACTATAATTCCTTCTCCTGGTATGCTGTAAAACCCTTGGATAAAGAATCCATCTCATAAACATCTCTTGGACCTATCATGATATGCTTAGTGCATTGTTGGTGCTGAAAGTGCCATTAAATGATGGATGCTTTAAATGCAGAGGGTGAAAACCTCTGTCTTCTACCAACCCCTTCCCATCTTCAGCCTTACCTCCCTGGTGGAACTCTCTACGAACGGCCCTCCAAACATGGCAGCCATCCAGTCACAACTGGAAATCAACAGAGGCTTGTGGGCGCTAATGGTCCCATCATCCAGGATGAAGGTCACATCTACTCAGGAGGGGAAGAGGCATCATATAAGGTATGCTGAAAAAAGGTGGGATAACCAACCCCAAGGTTGTCATTGAACCCAGACAGCCCTAGCTTCCTTCTGAAGCTGTCCTCCCCATAAACTCTCAGCTATGGAAGACAGAACCTCAGGAGCAGACAGTCCATCACTCTAGGGCATCAGAAATTGAGACTGACTTAGAATGTGAAAAGAAGCTCTGATGATGTGATGGTTAAAGCATCTGGCCACCAACCCAAAGGTTGGCAGTTGGAACTCACCAGCGGCTCTGCAGGAGTAAGATGAGGCAATCTGTTTTCATAAAGATTTACAGCCTTGAAAACCCTATGCAGCAGTTCTTGTTATCCTATAGGATCTCTATGAGACAGAATCAACTTGACAGTGGGTTTGGTGAAATGCATTATCAAACGAACCCAGACTCATCAAAAGCCTACTTGGAGAGAATTTCCCTACTTTCTAGTCATCAGTTCCTAAGCATGTTACATACCTGAGAAGGTGCCTTTAGCCAAGCACTCCTTAACCCGGTTGGTCCGGCGTACATGAAAGGCCTTGGTGATCTCCTGGTTCATAAAGGCCTCGTTGTTGAGAATATTGGCCACCATCATGCGCAAATCAAAGACCTCAAGTAGTTCAGCAATGTGGGCAATGTGCATGAGGTCCCGCTCATTCTCATCCAGCTCCCCTGTGTACAGGTACTTGAGAACAGCCCGGAAGGGCCCGGGCTGGATGGAGTTGTCCATTTTTACCACCACCATCAGCCGGGATTTGTAGGTCAGAGGATCTTCTGCCATCTCCTCTTGGATGCTCACAAAAGCTCTGCTCCAGGAAGAGAGCACTCGACCTCTCCCTGGCAGGTACCCAGTCCCATTGCCCCGTAAGATTCCATCACTGGTGGAGGCCCGGAGTCCAGCAGGCCCAGAGCCCCCACCCTCGTCCATGCTTTCACATACATCAAAGCTGGCTGCACGAAGCAAAAAGTCCCGCCCGTGGTGGTGGTGGTGGTGATGGTGGTGGTGTTGATCAGGGTGACCCCGGTGGTCCTCTGGATGGGGGCCCCCTGGCCCAGAGGGGTCCCCCAACTCCCCCTCACTCAGGTCCATGAGGAACAAGTCATAGAACTTGGAGGAGGAGGTGGAGAGGTAGATCTTGTGGGCAAAGATTCGCACCCGCTCCTGCAGCACCAGGATGACGTCCGCGCAGAGCGGGTCTTCCAGGAGGTGGGCGGGGCACTCCTCACTGCTGGAGGGAGGGTCGGGCACCACGATGATGGGAGGTGGTGGCTTGGGTGGTAGGAAGGGGGCTTGCAGCAATGGCCGCTGCACATTGCGGAGGTGGGATTTCCAAAACTGCAGGTGCCGGCGGGAAATGAGTGCTGCTCGGATGGCGTTGTCAAAGACGTCCTTGATGCCAAACTGGGCCACCACACTGGTCTCATAATAGGGGATGCCCAGTTCCTTGGCCACCTCCCGACCTTTCTCCGGGGGAAGGATCTCATTAGGCTTGATGGGCCTGGTGGTTTCAAGAAGGGAAACCAAATTTGTGTTGGTGGTGGAGGGTTGGGACAGGAAGAGTAGTTCCCCAAAGCCTTCCTGTTCTTCACCAGATTGAGGGATTCTGCTCAGGATACACTTTTCTGGCCCCCAGTCCCACCCTGCTCATTTCTACTGAATATTTTCCCTACCTTTTCTATCTAGACAAATCCTATCAGTTCTTCAAGGTCCACCTTCAATCCCCTTTGCTTCCAGGAAATCTTCCTTACCTATGCCAGGCCAAGGTGATCTCCCTAGCTCAAAGCAATGATAGCCCTATCTTCTTGGCAATTAGCACACAATGTTTCACATTAGTATTTAATATATTGAGTTTATCTCCCAGCAAGATTGTATGACTTTTCATACAAAGAACATCTCCTCTTCTCTTTCTTTCCTCATAGGGCCTATCTTAGTAATGCCTGCACAGTAGATAGTAGTGTATAAGTAGATAGATATATGAGTGAATGAATGAATGAGCATCCTTGTTGGTTCCCTATGTGAGCTAGCTCTAAAGACAGGTAGAGATTAAGTAAGGCTCAGTGGGACTACCTTGGGGCTAAGCAGCAAGCCATGGTGAACTGCCCATCACTCCATTTTTCTCCTTTTCCCTCCCTAGGCATCAGCACCCTTTACCTAGCCAAAGGTCGCCTGGCCCTATTAACAGCCTCCAGGTCGGCGTAGCGCAAGTCCAGCTGGCAGCCCACCAAGATGACAGGTGCTCGGGGGCAGAAGTGCTTGATTTCTGGGTACCACATGGTCTTGACATGGTGCAGGGAATTGGGGTTGGCAATGGAGAAACAAAGAACCACCACATCGGATCTAGGGGCAGGAAAGTGAGGTTATGGGCAGAGAAAGCTAGGGGTAGGTTACAGCTCCTTGAAACAAGGGAGTGCATGCATACCTACCCTTAGCCCCCACCTTACTGTATAACATATGGGTCTGCTCACATGATCTTACACAAAACATAGAATCACAGCACCTCCAATTTATATAGCATCTTAGAGCTTTCAAAGATTCTTATTTGACCTCATAGGTATCTTATAAGTTAGAAAGTATCGTTTTATAGCTGAGAAAAATCAACTCTGAACAGTTACCCTAATTGCTCAAAGTCACATAGCTAGTAAGTGGTAGAGATGGGATTCAAAGGCAGTCTCCTAGCTCCAAATCCCGAGTGCCTTTCACCAACCCAGGCTACCTCCCCTGTGAGGTTCTGCTAGTGCTGTTTTCTCCACTTCTCCCTCTCAGTTGAAATGTCTCAACATCTTGGGAAAGCATGGAAAAACCCACCCACTTGGCTCCCTGCAGGCAGCCAGAGGCCCTCCCTACCTCCCATAAGCAAAGCGCCGATCTTTGTGATGGTCTCCAAAGGTGTCCCAGAGGCGCAGGGAGACGCTGACATCATCTACCACATCTCGGGAGCGTTCCAGCACCTGCCAGGGTTGGGGATGGGTATCAAGGGCAACAGTTTTTGGGGTTCACAGCATGTCAGCTCAGAGTGGGTGTGGGCTCACCCCTGAGGGTCCCAGGCAGCATCAGGGATGGGGGGAGAGCAAAGCTGGTATATTCTACTGTGTGCCCTGCACAATACTTTTACCCAGGTGAATCTACGTAGAATCAATAACAAGGATGATCTTCAACTAGAACAGCCATAGAAGAGCCCATAAAAGGGCAGACTGTTACATGTGGAAGAGAGCCTGCCCTTGATTCCTGCTTTACCTGCAAATCTTACGAGTCTTTGATCTTTTGGTATTTGCTGGCAGCTTCTTTCCCCCTCTGTCTCTCCAAAGCCCCAGCCACCTGGTACTCACCATTACTTGGGGCTGTGATTGCTCAAGATGCTATGCCCCAGGCACCAGCTCAGCCATGCAAAATACAAATAAATGGTCAAAGACTGCTCCTATGGAGCAGGCACACATTAGACCTCTCTCCAGGGACTTATTCCTTTTTAGCTGTTCCCACCTCACCTCTAAGGGACTTCAGTGTGCTCAGCCCAACTCCTTTGTGAAGACACGAAGCTATAGCTTGAGCTATGGCTTGGATGCCCCCAGTGGCCTTGCAGCCTTACCTCCTGGCACACCCGATACTGGTCAATGGCCCAAACTGTGGGCACATGGGTGGCAAGCAGCTGGTACTGAGTGAGGGTAGCATTGCAGGCCCGAGCACAGATGAGCCTGGTTTTGCCCACGGCGTTGTCCCCGACCACAACGCACTTGATGGTCTCTACGTTTGGCCTTTCATAATCCATGTCAGAATCCATTAATTGGGACCTGAAGGAAGGGAAGGAACCAGTCAGGATGGGTTTGCATGCCAGCACCTCAGGGCCAGGCCCCGTAGTTCTCTTCAGCCAGACATGCCCCCTCTTCAAGCCTTTGATCTAAGAGGACAAAGACGTGGACAACTTTCTTGGCAATAGATCTGCAGAGGCCTGGGGAGACAGGAGCTCTTTCAGGCCGAGAAGAACAGTTCCATCAGCTTGACCACTGGGCTCCCTCCTGATCCCATCATCTTCCAACAGGGTTTCTGGATGACGGGAGGTCTATGACAGAGCCTGCCTGGGGCCTGTCCCCACTGTTCCAGAAAGAGAAGAGTCAGCCTGGGAAGCTCACTCATCATCTGCTCTCCTCCTCCTCCTCCTCCCCTCAGCAGGGCTGTGCCGGGTGGAACAACAAACAGCCCAGAGAAGCAGAATCAGGGCCAGGTCCCCACTCCTTCCCAGCATGCCTGAGGGCAGGGCCACTTTAAAATTTAATGGACTTGTCAAAGCTAGGTGGCAGTTCTCCTGGCCTCCACCCAGTCCCCTCTACCTCTCTGGTGAGTATTTCCCAGCTCTAGCCTGTCTATGTCTATTCTCCAGTTGCAGTCCCCAGTCCCCTTTGTGCAGATGCTAGAGTTTTTCTCCCCGATATCTTGATGGGGGCGGCTCCTGGCTGCACCTGACCAGCGCACGAGCCTCCCCACCTCCCGTCTGGGTCAGTCACATTGCCTGCATGTCTCACACAGCTCCAGGGCCAGTTTTGAGATGGGGTGAGGGGTAAATCACGTGCCTGTGATAATACACTCCATGGCTAGTGGCCCTTGATCCCTTACCCAGGACTGCCCCCCAAGAACTCTGTATCCAGCCTCCAGAGGAGTGAAATAGGCCCTTTCCGTACTTCACAAGTCATAGGAAAGGGGAGTCACAGCTGGAAGTCCCCAGACACCCGGCACTTCTGGGAGGACACTCACTAAATTGGCTATCTGTGGATAATAGGGTTGTTGGAGGAAGCAGAGGAGAGAAACTTGGGTCAGAATTTCAGGGCAAACATTTGCATCAGTTTCCTTCTGTGTCGGGCAGAGAGCAAGTGGTTTGTCCACCCACAGAGATAGATGGTTTAAATGAACAAACAGAAGGTCCTTCTGTAGTCAAAATGTCATTTTAGTGTTTAAAAAGCTGTCACCAGCCCTGAGGGGGCTTTCACAGTGGCCTCCCAACTGGCCTCCATTGTCCTGGGAGGACTTCTGGGAGAGGTAGGGAGTAGAGGCAGGGGTTATTAGGAAGGGCTTTGACAAATCTTGGTTTCCTCCATGGTCACTGACCTGCCCCTGCCTCACATTCCCTGCATGCATGATAAGTAGTCTTGAGTACTGGAACAATCTGGAGTAATCCTTCCTAGGCTGAGGAAAGCTGAGCTCAGAGGAGTCCTGAAGGCTGCCCTCACTGCTGAGACATCCAGCCTGAGAGCCAGGCCACTGTTAGCAGCAGAGAAGTCCACTCCTGCTGGCTGCCTGGCTGCTGTAACTGGATGCCAGCATGCAGGAATGCAGAACCAAAATACCCAAATAACAATGGCAACTGGGATTTGTGAGTGGATGAATCTCAGGCACCTAAGCAAAAAGTGCAGCAAGGGCTTTTCAATGAGAAAACCTCCTCCATCTCCTTCTTGGAATTCTATGCATGCGGACCCTGAACAACCAGGGGTCTCCATGCAGGTCCCTCCCCCAGTCTCCAGAGCAATAGTCTGCATCATTCCTGCTCTTCTCCACTCCTCCTCACCTTCCCCCAGCAATCAATCATTATTTTAACCACCATCTTGCTTCCTCTCTAGTCTCTTGTCGTAATCTGAGGACTAGGAACCCCGCTCTGACAGTTCATAGTCTAAAGTCAACAAGCTGAGGGACTGTGGGCAATGGGAGGAATCATCTGGGCTGTGGTTTGTGTTTTATTGACTGAAAAATAAAAGATAGAATCCCAGCTACAAATACGTATAGCTGTAGCATAAAGATAAAAACCCACTAGCCATAGAAGTTCTTTGTAAATTTAGGTTCTAGTGCCATGTAGGTCTGTAAGCAGAAGGAGGAAATGAGGAGACAAAGAGGAGGGCATTGGTTCTTAAATCCAGGAGTGTCTTGATATTGACAGTCCTGGATATTGTTGGGGCTAGAACCCCAACAGAGCAATGTGGTCCAAGTTCAGCTACTTTGTGATTGAAACACTCATGCACACCTTACGCACCAGCAAGGTTAAGTAAGGGTCACCCAACCAACAAGCAAAAGAGCAGAAAATCCTGCACCGTGAGGTTAAACACTAGGCTGCTGAATTGCTGCCCCTTTTCGTCCATTCCCCAGCTGCCCCTCAGCCTTCCTCTGCTTGCCCTTCAACTTCCTCCCTACTTTAATCGTTCTTACCTATTCCACTCATGTCCCAACTGCCTTAGTGGCAACCTTCATGGTCGTATCTAGGAGAAGGCAAATCCCTTTTCTGGGCATCAGTCTACCACTCTGGAAAATGGGTTAAGATGGCTTTGCAAGAAAGTCTCCTGACTCTTGGGTAATTCATGCCATGAAAGCCTGGGTTGAAAGGAGGTATTTGTCTTCTTATGTAATGCTGGTATTATATAACACTAGATTACATATATATGTGTGTGTGTGTAATTATATCTCTCTTTAAGATACAGACTGGCCCAATTAAGCCTGTAGAACTCTTAGTCTAATTAGGCCTGTCTTAAATGAGGACCTTGTTCTGGAGATAGCATGCCAACAGTATAATATTTGCTCTATTATATTGCTACTTTATCATTGCTCATGTATGATGAAACAATCCACTCAATGAGCTTCTCGACTTCCCTTTTTCCTATGGCACTCTCTTCTTCCATGACTCTAGACTTTTCTTCACTATTGCCTCATCCTCATTCTGTCCAAGCCTCCTGACTAACCTCCACAAACTCTGGCTTCCTTGCCACTTTGCCCGGGTATCACACCCCTGATTCACTCCTCCCTCAGTGATCCCAGAGTGTCCCCCTCCAAAATTGCCTCCTGCCCACTGCTTTCCCAGCTCTTTTGACACACCCCAGGCCAAAACCCAACGTGTGATTAGATTAGCTACAACGCTCACAGGTCCCCAATCCCACCATCACCCCCCTACACACACTCTTAGCTGAGCCCAGAAAAGCCCTCCTTTCCCTCCCACAGCTGATAGGAGACTTGTTCATCTGTAGCTAGTCTAGTCTGGTTGTCAAGGAAACTACAGAATCTCCCTGGGAGCCTGGTTTGTCTCCTAGCAACCAATATTCCACATCCTGCATCTTATAAAATGCGAAAGAGAGGAAAATAATGAAAATGAAGGTAAAAATCAAGAAGGATGGATAAGAAGGGAGAATCAGGAGGGGAAGAGCAAAGGGAGGGTGTACTCCGAATTAAAGGAGGCTCCCACTGGAGTTGCTGACAGAGTAATAATAGGGTAGTATCCAGCGGCACAGATCCAATGCAAAGCAAGGCCCAAAGGGATCTTGAATGGTTATATTAAGAGAAATGTAATCCTAACACAGCTTAAGGTGTATCAAACCTAAAATATCGAAACATCAACAAACAACGCTCAGGATTTTCCCCAGTGGTTTGCCAGAACTGAGGTGCACAGACTGCAGTGGTGTTCAGTTGAAAGAAACATCTCTAGAATCGTGAGCAAAACACCCACATTCCATTGATTTTTAACGGAAACACTTCCATCACTCTGGACCTTCCCCACCTCCCTACCCCAACACGGTGCTGTGCACTCACACAAAATAAAAATAAAACACAGGAAGAGAGGGAGGCACGACACATCAAGACCATCAAGTCATCTTCCTCTCCCTAGAAAAACCCGGAAAAGGTTAGTCCCCCGCCCCTCGGAACCCAGCCGCGGAAAGTAGAGTCTGCGGAGCAGCTGGAGGCGAGTGGAAGTGAGGAGGGGCGCAAACAGGGCGGGGGAGGGGCAGGAGGCAGCGGGTGGGGGAAGCGACGCGGTTCCAGAGACTGCTTGCAACCCGGCCGGCCATAATAGAAATTAATCATTTACTTACACCACTACATGTGACGGGGTAATTTCTAGTGTAAGGAACACATCTCTTCCTGCTAAGCACGCTCATTTTAGTGAAATGTCTGGGGTCACTCCGTGCGCGCAAGTTAGGACGATACTGCTGCTGCCGCCGCCTATGGCCCCGCCGCCGCCGCCTCGTTGCTGCTACAGTCTCCGAGCCCGGGTTCGCGTTAGATCAGAAACTCTGACAAAGCAGTCCAGGCCGGACGGCGGACCGGGAGCAGCCAGGCGCTCTGCACTGCAACCATTGCCTCTTCCGTATCAGCATCTCCCTGGGCACCGGACGCCCAATGTCATGGAGGCGCGGGGCCCGCAGTAGCGGGCCAGACCAGGGCGCCGGAGTCAGGAGCTGCGCACCAGTCGGCCCAAGCTGAGGAGCTGGGCTGCAGGGCCGCGGCCGCTGCTGCTACACCGGCGCAGGGTAGAGGCAGCACGCAGGGGTGGAAGGAGAGGGGCGAGGCTGCTACTGCTACGCGCGCGGGTCCTGTCCAAATGCAGTGCGGAGAAGACGCCTAGCGCTGCAGTCCCAGGGACCGCTCACGAC